CACAAACATATATGTTAGCTATAACATTAGGTACTCAAGTATTTTTCCTTAATATATTTATATTTAACTGTTTCTTAAGGTGGTTTAGTAAAGTGATGAAAATTACTTATTTAGGTATTCGTGTCTTTTTAAAAATCTGAGTCTGCAGGGTATCTGGATTGACATTTTTAAGAGCTATGTTTGAATTAAGCAATAACCAGAGTGATACATGTGTATGAACACAATGTGTTTATAATAGTTATAGGGTCATAGACCATTAGATGTATACTATGCATATGAGCGTGTCTGAAAGGTTCAATATATCAGAATTTTCTAAATGGAATCCATGCCAACTTAGTTTTATATGGTTTCAGCCATTGTTTATAGATTTCTTACTCTTTCTGATTTTTATCTTTTTAAGTTTTTGTGTTCAATGTAGAAGTAATGCATGTTCATTTTAGACAGTGTTGAAAATATGGAAAAGTACAAAGAAAAAAATTACACATTTATACATGTATGTCATTAGAGCTGTATATTGTTTAGTAATCTTTTAAAATTTTATATTACGAATATTTTACAGTGCAAATAATCCCTTTTAAAAACCCATTAAATCTTATTCTCATTATTGTACATTTTAGGTTGTTGCCACCTATTTACTCTTTTAAATAATGCTGCAGTATATAAATTTCTGTGAGCATTACTAATAATGTCTTTAGGATAGATTTCTAGAAATGAGGTGTCTGAATCAAAGAGAATCCACAGTTTTAAGACTTTTGATGCCTGGTGTCAAATTGCCCTCCAGAAAGTTCATCAGTTATGTATGAGTGATAGACTTTTATGTGTGATTTTTTAATGGATTGGATAGTCTTCATTTTTTTAAACAATATTGTCATTACGTGATTTAACTTTCAAGATACATCGAACCTCTAATAATGTATTTGCTTTAATTTTTAATGACGATTGTTTAGAATATATTTAATATATTTCTACTGGGTCAGAGTCTCTAAGATTAACCCCCAAGTTCAGTGAATTCACAGGGAGGACTCACAGGACTCAGCATGTGGTTGTACTTATGGCTATGATTTATTATAATGAAAGGATACAAAGCAAAATAGCAAAGAGAAAAGGTACATGGGGTGGAGTCCAGAGGAAATCAGGCACAAGCTTCCAAGAATCCTTTCTCAGTGGATTTACACAGGACATACTTAATTCCTCCAGCCTCAAGTTGTGGCAATGCATGAGATGTCTGCCGGGGAGTCTCATTAGAGATTTAGCGCCCAGCGCTTTTAATTGGGGACTGGTTACATAGACCCTTTCTGCCTAGCCCATACTAAAATTCCATATTCTTAGAAGGAAAGCAGGTGTTCAGTATAAACCACATTGTTTGTACAAAACAGGTTCAGTGAGCCACTGTCAGCATTTAAGGTGGTGGGAATCCTCCCAGAATCCAAGCTCCCAGATGCCAGCTGAGGGTCAACCTTATAAGCAGGCCTTTAAAGTAGTCAAGCCTGATATGTTACCTCTTTCTTGCACACTTACTTTACTTAATCATTATATATAGTTTTTATTGCAAAAGGTTGCCATCATTAACATCAACACTGTACCATATACAGAATTACACTTTCAAATTTTTTTACTTCTGAATTAATGCAGTTTTACTCTGTGACCATATCTTTTACCATCAGGTGGCTCCCTATTTAAGGGGCTTATTTCTGAGTTTTGCATGATTAAGATTACTGGAAATCTTGCCTTTGAATAATTCCTAAAGTAAGTTTTACCCAGGAGAAAACATTTTTACTCATGTATTTTTAACTTTAATGTGAAGAAATAGTATGATTTTTTAAAACTTTTAGTGACTAAATGAAAAATACTGCTTGAAGGCTAATAAATTTTTCTCAAGATTCTATATATGTATAATTTATTAATAGTTTTGAGTGCCTACTATATGAGAGGAGGAGTAGTAGGTGCTAAGGTGTAAAATGACAAGATAGAAATGGTCCATAGACATGTAGAACTAATATTCTGAATATGTACCTAGTGACTTGGGAAAGGAAGACATTTTGCTATCGCTGGGACCATAAATTTCATAAAAATTCATGTTAACTTAGTATTTATATACTTAACAGTTTTTAACTATTCCAAATTTCTGAATGCTAATTTATATTTTGAGATTCTCAAATAGAGATGATACATGTTTGCTCCTGTTAGTTTATATCAGAACTGCCCTATGAATTGTGATGTAAGTCAATCCCCTACCTTCGCTCTCCACCACACATTCCTTCTGTCCCTTCCTCTCAAAAGAATCTTTCAGTGAGCCAGTTTTGCTAATGGGAGTATATCATAATTTCCAAATCTAATGGTACAGAAAAAAGCATTAAGAATGAGTGCTTCGGTGCTTTTTAGAATATCTTTGTAAGCCCTGTGTCCTTCATCAAAGAAAAAAAAATGGAAAGGGAAGGAAGAAGAGAAAATAAAATGCTATGCTTGCAAGTTCATCTGGATTGTTTTGTATAGATTTTTCCGTGTTCTTAAATAAAACTAGTAACTTAAAGTCATAAACAGTTCCTAAGTGTATGTGCTCATACTTATGAGCTAATTATTTTTGTTCTATTGTCTTCAAGAGGTATAATTACCTATTATAAATTAGCTTGTACAGGCCATGGGCTCTCACAAAATAATTTTAATTGTAATTTTCTTCTTGTGTAATGTTCAGATCTTAAAAAACATTATTCCTTTTTGCTAACTTGATCAGACTCTCCTTTGGTCATTTGCGGTATCCCTTAGCTCCTGAGCAGCCTCATGGTGAGTTTGGAATGACTGCAGATATTCATCCTGAGGCCGCAGTGAGGGTTATCCAGTCCATGGCTCGATTCATGGCTGCCTACTTCACCAATGAACTGCTTTGCATTTTGCCACCTCACAATGTGAATGTACTTCCTCCCCTTCACATTAAAACAGGTAATATAGTAAACACCTTGTTTTCTCATAATATTTGAAATCCTATTACACAGTGATCATTATTTTATAGAAATAATACTGTGTTAGCTCAGTGCCTGACACACAGGAGATGCTTAGTGCCTATTTGTGAATGAATAAAATCTGAGAAAGGTGATTGCTTGGATTTTTATCAAATATGGATTTTTAATCCCAAATTTGGACAAATTGGTACTTACAAAGTATTCATATTCTCAAATAGAGATGATACATGTTTGCTCCTGTTTGTTTATATCAGAATTGCCCTAAAGGTAATTGCTTGGATTTTTATCAAATAAGGATTTTTAATCACAAATTTGGACAGATTGGTACTTACAAAGTATTCACTTTTAAAATAAGAGTTGCCACCTTCATTTATATAAAAATGTGGAAATTTAACAAATTTCGAGTACATTAATTTAGAACTTAATTTTACGTGGATGATTTTCTTTGTTCTATTAATCATTTCATTAATAAGATCAAAAATGTACCTATAATGTGCTAGATAACTGCCTTGCCCTCATGGAGATAAACATGTATACAGATTTCTGTAATATTCATGCTACTAATTTTTATTAAATGCCTGCTATGAGCCAAGCAGTGTTCTAGGTGCTGGAAACATACTAGCTTGCACCATGAGAAATTAATAATATGAAAACATTTGTAGTTGTTTTGTTTTGACACATGATACAAACTTATCCTAACTGCCATGAACAGATAAAAAAAGCTATTCTTTTATGGTATTTACATCTAAACATTGAGACAGAAAATTAAATAAGTGAATATATAAATGGGTATATCAAATGGTGATATATGTTATGCAGAGAATTGAAATAGAGTAATGCATTGTGACTGAGTGTCTGTTTCAGATAGTGAATTTAGGAGCACTCTGAGAGGGCAGCCTTAAGCTGAACTGTTAATGATGAGAAAGAGTCAGCCATGGACACATCAGGACTTACAGCATTCTAACCTGAGCTTATGCAAAAGCCCCAGAGCAATGACAACTTGATGTGTTTGAGAAACTGAAAGACTGGTGTGGCTGGAGCATAGTGGATGAGGTGGGGAGAGATAGGAGTTGAAGTCAGAGAGAGAGAGACAGGGACCAGATATTATAAGCCAAATTCTATTGTAAATGCAATGGGAAGTTACTGGAGGGCTTTAAGCAGGAAATAATATGAACTGATAAATATGTACAAGGCATAGTAGTATAAAATATAATGGAATTAGAAGTTTAATAAAGGTAGCAACAATGGTCAGCAAATTTAATCACTCAAAGAACCATGGATTTTGAACTGTGTTCAGTTCTGTCCTGTAATTGTCTCAGGATGTGGATAGGAGCGGAGGACTGTCTGTCCTCAGCTACTTGGACGCTTCAACAGTAGTGTTAATCTCTAGTCTCACCTCGTGTTCTTCAGGAGGTTCTGGTCTCTAGAAAGTCATGTATGGGAGGTAAAATCAGAAGGGAAGTTGTCTAATGGTTCCTATTCTAGTAGGACTTTGCTTCCCTGGGGAAGAATTGGTTCTGACCTGATTATGGCTTCTCTTAGGGTGCTGTTGTGAGCAGAAAAAAAGTGCCCATTTTCTTCCAGGACCTGGCTGCTCCCCTGTCCCTCTCTACAGTATCCTAACTCAGGTTTAGGGGTGCTCATTGCCTTTTCTCCTTGACAACAGCCTTTGCTCCTTTTGCTCACCTTTATGCTTGCTTCTGACTAAGACTCTCAAATGTGTAATACTTATTTCCTTATGCATTTGACATGACTTATTACAGTGGTTTTATATTTAAGCTCTTTTTTGTCACAACCTAGGTATTTATCACTTGTGTTCTCTATTTTTGGTAGTAATGTTTCTGACAACAAATTGTATCCTTAAATCATATTATTTTATTGAAGAAAAGAAATAGTACTCCATTTTAGAAAAATCTAAAAAAAAAAAAAAAGATAAAATCCTGGTACTTAGAAAACTTGTCTCAATGTCTTATCTTTCTTGTCCTAGAGTAATAAGACTTTTGCTGTTTGCTCATGATCTTTATCTTTACAGATCACTTTATATATTTAAGAAAGACTTATCTTTATCACACTCTAGAAAGATGTGATAGAATTATTGTTTTTGGACAGATTAACAAACATTCGTAAAAGCTTAGAGATACACCTTTTTATTCCCTATGAAAATATCTTCACAGTGAGAGGATAGAATATAAGAGAAGGTTTTGTGTTTTCTTCCTATGCCCAAGATTGTGATTACTGAAAATTTAAATATCTGAAACTTCGTATATGTTGTTTCATTTCTTTAATATCTTGAAAAATGATATCAGAAGTCTTGACTTAGAATATACATTTCATGTTAATCAGAACTAGTAGTAGAATGTATTGAAGATTTGAGATGCTTATTTGGTGTGCTGTTTACTCTGATAGCAGTAAATTTTCCAGAAAATTAGATCAAGTTCTTTTAGTAATACAGTGTGCTTTGCTCATAATGAATAAAAAAGTAGGAAAATTTTAGTCAGTCTCCTGGCTCTTTGCCCCTGCAAAATCAAATATTCAAGAGATAGACTAAGTTTTTTGTTTTTATCCAAAAGTGTGTGTCAAAGAACTAATAAGATGTTAGTACTTGTTGGGCAGAGCCTGTGTAGGTCATATGCGAAACTAGTCATTTCAAGAAGCAGAAACCCATATACCATTTACAGATTTTATTTTGAAAATCTTAGCAATGTGTATTTAAAAAAAAAAAAGTAACAGTTGTGTCATATTTTAAAGTTACTTATACAAGTTACTTTTAATAAAGTATAGAAGGCTGGGCATAAGGATATTACCTTTCGTATTTAATCCCAAGCCAGACTGAAATCTTGTCATTTAGTCAGGATTATTGAAAACCACATATTTCTACTTATAAACACTAATACACTGAACACTTAATATACTTTAATAGTACTTCTATAATGCATGACACTGAGAAATGGAGAGTCAGGTAAAATGCAGTCTCTGCCCTCCTGATTTCATAATCTCGTAGGAGAAATAGACATGTATTTCAGGGCAGCCCACAGTAATAAACTCTACACTGTGACCCAGTGTTTATTTTACCTGACAGAAGTTTCATGAAACTTTTACCTTTATTTTGTGTAATGCACTCATACTGTCTCTCCTGTTTCTATTTTTACTCTGGCATTTGCTTCCTGACCCATTAGTAAAGCACTTTCTTCAGTGTTAAAACAACAAAACTATTCTAGGGTATGTTAAGTACTATTTTAGCACATTTTGTTTGTGTCTTCCTTGTGGTTTTGTGTAGAAAATACTGATTGAAGAGATACATGTACCCATGTAAAGTACGAGTTCTGATGTATGTAATATCCATTTTCTTTAATTTACTCACAGAACAGAGCCTTCGATTTATTCCTCTGCAACACTCTAAGGTGGCCAGTGTTGTTAGAGATCAGCATCTTTCTGATGTGTGGACAGTTGAATATGCCCTTGAATTATTATTTATTGGTGGCCTGGTTCCAGAAGCCGTGTGGTTAACACATAAACTAGGAGACTGGAAGACATCTGTTTCAATTGGTCTGGCCTTTCAGCTGTTCTGTAAACTAGACAGCAGTTTCACAAGGTATGTGTTTATAAGCAAACATAAGTTAAGAAATGGTGTAATGGTATCTAAAGTATTTCTCTCGTTTATATATTTTGTGGAATTCTTAGTTCAGCATTGTCCAGCAGAACTTCCTTCAGTGATGGAAATATTCTTTATGTGCTGTCCAATATGATAACTACTAGCCACACATAGCTATTCAGCACTTGAAATGTGGCTAGTAAGACCAAAGAACTGAATTTTCAATTTAGTTTTAATTAAATTTAAATTGCTACATGCAACTAGAAGATACTGTGTTGGATAGCTCGCAGCTTATATTTTGTATTAAAACTTTTGTTAGGACATTTATTTGTTAGTAGTGCCCTCAAAGAGCTTATAGTCAGTGGGAGAATTTATCCGAAATAGCATTTGACTTTTAAGCTAATCAAACTAATCTCTGTATATTAACTTTTCTGGAATTATGGTATTGCTGTGTCTTTTATATTCTTCAATTCAGTAATTCAGCATATTTTTACTTATTAAGTAACCTCTCTGTACCAAGCTCTATGCCAAATGTATTAGTGGATATAAACTTAAATGGTACATAGTTTCTGTGTTTAAGCTGCTTATAGTTTAATGGAGATAATAGGACAAAACATTGTTATAATTTACATAGCATGGTAAGAAAAGTGCCAGAGATACAGTAAGGAGAGCAATCATATTAAGTGAGGGAAAAACAGGAAGTACTTTATGTAGGACATATCATTTGAGATGGGCATTGAAGGGAAGACAGGATTTTGACAAATTGAGTAACTATAAGGAGAGAGAACATTCCAAACTTGAGCAAAGGCATATGGCAGAAATCAAGTTAGGTTCATTTTGGATAGAATATATTTGTAGGGCAGCACTGGGAAATAAGTGTGGGGAGATATTTTAGTATCATAATCTTGGAGAGCCGTAATACTCTCCTTAATGCAATATTTCCTTGATTATTTCTTTCTTAAATACAGTATGAATAAAGAAAGCGAATTTCACTGTTTCTTAAAATTTCATGGTTCTTGATGTGTAAATATTTTCTTTTTTCAAAATTTGGATTCATTTCCATTAATTTGATATGTTTTCAGGTCCAAGAAAAAGGGTCAGAATCTACCATTAAATATGACTCCAACACAGATTTTCCAGGAAAAACTTCAGTGTTTTTTAGGTCAGCCAGCCTCTTTGGAATCAAAAAATGAAATGGGTGCAAAATACAAACAATTTACAGGTATGTTATCTACAGATTATCTGATACATTTGTCAAGTTAATATAATCCACATGGTATTTTGAAGAGCTTGTAAATACCCACAAATATGTTAACAGTTTCGAGGTAAGATTATCAAAAATAAAGGTATTTTATTCTTGACCATGGGAGCATCCTAAACTGATGCCAGCTCAAAACACAGTGGTCAATAACTGAATGATATTTCATTTTCCGTACATACCTTTTATACTAGTTTTATTTTGCTGCATTTGGATTACTTTTTATCGTAGTCATAGAATCATAGTATCTCATCCATAGAAGGGTACATAGAAGTATTTAGTTCAACTCTCATCTATAGTGCATAAATCATAGAGTTGGTTTTGTTTTCAATTTGAAAAGTTCAAAGTGCTATTACAAATTAAAAATATAATATTACATAGATTTACACAAGAACCCTATAAAATTTTTCTGTTTTATAGATGGAGTAATTTAGACAAAAAGTAATGAAGTTAATTAAAGATAAAACCAGGACTACTGTGGCACCCTTCGGTTTTATTAGTGCTTGTCTCCATTAAGGAGTGAGATTCTAAATCTAGATTCCTATAACTTACTAATTATAACTTTTTTTGGAAAGAACTTATAATACTTGGAAATCTGACTGAAAACTTTTTTGATGCTTTTTTGTCAAGTTTGTTTTCTTTAGTAAATGAAAAGATGATGTAACTATGTGAAAGCTGGTTTTGAAAAACACTAAAATTTTGAAGTATAAACTTCTAGGTCTGGCAAGATGATCTAAACAATTTCCCACAATAAATACATAGATAAAATGTGTTTCTAGATAAAATATAAAAATATACATTTAAAGGCTAAGCTTTAAAGAAATTAAGGAAAATTTCCAGCATCAGAAACAAAGAGGACATAAAAACTCAATGGATTCCACCCCTAGATATTTACCTAAGAAAAATAAAAACATGGATCTACCCAAAGACATGTATGAATTTTCTTAGCTGCTTTTTTATGATAGCCAAAAACTTGAAATAACCCAGATGCCTACAACTTGCGAATAGATATACATATTGCAATATATACAATGAAATAATAAAAAAGAGGAGCAAATTACTGATAACATGCAACAACATGGATGAATCACAGAACCATTATGCTGAATGAAGGAAGTCAGAAACAAAGACTACATGCTGTGTGACATTTTATAAAAAGCAACACTAGAGGGACAAGGAACAGATCAGTGGTTGCCTGGGAGTGAAGGGAGAATTGACAACAAAGGGGTATAAGAACTTTTTGGGGGTGATGGAAATGTTCTTACAGGGCTGTATAGATTTGTCAACTCATTAAACTGTATACTTAAAAAGGATGAATTTTAGTGTATGTAAATTAAACCGCAGTAAACCAACTTAAAAATGAAAAACTCAACAGATGGTTAATGAACTGGAAGATGAGTTTGAGTTCTCTCCATACACACATACAATATATAGAGAGAGTTAAATATATACATAATAGATATAAAGAAAGGAGGTGAAAAATATGAAAAAAATTAAGCCTCATAGGGTATAAAAATGGAAGACACAACAGATGTCTGATAGGAGGTCCAGTATAGTCACACCAAATTCTAGATAGTGGCTATCTCTGGAGAGAGGGAGTAGAATATGATTTACTAATATAAAAATTCCTTAAGTCTCCAGTTGTACCACCTGCGTCCTCCTGCATTTTTGCCTTCTGAGTCATATCCATATATATACAGATATAGAATTAAAGCCATACTGTATGACTATTTGTTTTTTTTAGTTTCATATTATGTCATTTTTATTTTATTATAAAACTACTGTGATGAGCTATTAAAAAGGAAAAAATTACTTCCCCACCGCCTTCATGGGGAAGTAATTTTTATATATGTTATTTTGGTTTTTTTCTTGACATTTTTCCATTAATATTTTTTTCATTTATTATTTTTGATTCAGGTCTATATTCCAAGAATATTTTTATTATATAGTGGTTAGTGCCTTGTATAATTTTGTAAAAATCTTGTGTTCTGATTGCCAATAATCTTAAAATAATAGAGTAGTTATAAAATTTCTGTCTAGAAGTTTGGATGTTTTGTATGTCAGCCGATATGTTCACTTTTTGGTCAACTTTTTTCAGATATGAAATTTTATCCTACAAAGTAGGATAAGAAGTATAATATAAATTTTAACTATTTTACCTAATTTTGTGTTTGGTAGATCCTATTGAAGAGGAAGATGCAAATCTGCTATTCAGTTCAGTGCAAGAAGTACTGAAAGCAGCAGTTATGGCCGATGCAGATATTCTATCGGAGACATTTCAGCTTCTGATAAATTCTGCCAAAGACTTCAGTAAGAGGCTATGGGGCTTAGTGCCGGTCGGCTTGTATCTTCCAGCTCCTCCGTTATATTGTCCTCAGCCAGCTGTTCTTAGTGAAGTAAGCTTAGTGCTTAATGTTTTAATTAAAGTTGATTTTGTCTAAGTTCTAAAATAATCAATTTGATGATAATCTTCGAGTTAAAAATGCAAACTCTGAAGACAAACTTCCAGATCCCAGCTTTGCTGTTTATTAATTGTATAGTCTTGGGCAGTGTACTTGACTGCTGTTTAAGTTCTCTCATCTGTAAGATGCAGGTGATAGTATTACGTCCAGTAGCTTTATTGTGAGAATTACATGAGATATCCTGTAATTTTATTATTTTTTATTAAAAGGTAGCCTTTTACCGTAGAGCTCAGAACAGATAGTAAGTATTCAATGACTGTTAAATTTATTGCAATAATAAAACGAGGTATTTCTCTATATCCAGATTTTAAAAAATAGACATCTGTTTAGAGTGACAAAATAATGAATGTCAGAATTTAGAAACCATACATTATTTATCTTTTATTCATTTCATTGACTTCGCCTCTTTTAAAAGACTTATTTTGATTTTTTCTTTGCTTTGAGAGTCATTTTTTTCTCCTGCACTATTCATTTGTCTTATAAATAGTAATTCTATTTTCTCTCAGGAACTTTTTTTCTGCTCTTATTGACAATCATAATATAAGTTGGTTTTAAGATTTAAAGTGTTAATGTAAATTATTTACATTTAAATTATTTTAATATTTGATTAATATTGTGAGTGATTCTGGTATTGATTTCTACTTACTGTTTCAGCAACTTCTGTTTCTAATTTATTTTTGGTTTGTTTTTTAGAGTTATGTTCTGATTTGTTATATTTGGAGTTATGTTTCAATAGGTTAAAAATATTTCTTGATATTTCAAATGTAATATATTACACATGGAAGGAATAAATAGTTCATGGTTGTTTCTCAGTAATTCTTACATCTTAGTCTTTAATATATTGGTTTAGAAATTAGAAATCACATTTAAAGTATTTTTGGATATGTTTTGCTGATATTAGTTTGAGTGGTTACTATCCTTGATAGTGCTTCATTTTATTATTTTTTATTAAAATAATCCTCAATGGTAGGATTTCTCCTAAATGCCAGTCTTTACCAATTAGAACTCTTTGGGTTGCAAGTACCTTAGAAAACTTGGTTGAAATTGGCTGGCGTAATTAAGGAGCCCAGTGGTAGGGGCAGCCTTCTCACTTCATTATGTTACCAAAAACTTGGGCTCTTTCTCTCTAGTTTGTTTTCTGAGGTGTCAGCTTTGGCTTAAGGCTGGCTCTCTTTGTGGGAGCAGCAAGGCTGCCAGCAGCTTCTAGGGACACCTTATCCATAACCAGAGGGCGAGAGAAGGGGAGAAAGAAAAACAGTAAAAGTATTACTTTCTCCCTTAATCAGATGGACTATGTAAGGGAGGGGCAGATACCCAGTTAAAATTTTAGTACAATTAAGAATTGGCAATAGTAGGAAGATATTAGGGAAGAAAATGTTTATAATACATTATCTTATTTTCTGGGAAATTAATCTCTACTGACTTGAATAGTGTTTTTTCAACAGACTATTAGATACTACTACATGTTAGACTTTATTCTATGTATTGTGATAATACAAAGACGTGACAAGGCATTTTCTCTTGGGTAGTTCTCAATATAGCGAGTAGTCCTCAATATTTATGTATCTCAACGTAGATACATAAATCGGTACTGAATAAATTATTAGAAGCTATGATGAAAGTCTGAGCCAAGTGCCATCGTAGCACAGATTGGGAGTACTTCACAGAGAAGGTGACATTGAAATATAAGTAAGATTATTCCAGGCAGAGGAAGGAAAAAGGCATTCTCCTTGAAAGGAGCTCTCTGTAACATTCTACCAATGGAGTCAGGAGTGGTGGTCTCTAACTGTTGTAGGGGAAGATTTGGGATTAGGATCGATTTAGCCTTTTATATTGCTCGAGGAGAGAGAAATGTTTGCTTGACACTAGAAATAGCTATAGTCTATATCTCCGAGACCAGGCCTCAACATTTTCTTTATAAATCTCCAGGAATGTTCTAGCTTTGGAGGCACTATCTTTATTTTCACCTTATGTGTTACTTTCCCCAGCTCAGATACAAGTACTGTATAGATATTTTTAATTTTTATTTTTCAATTAGAGTTGACATTCAATGTTTTATGTCAGTTTCAGGTACACAGTACAGTGGTTAGACATTTATATAATTTACAAAGTGATCGCCACCTGGCATTACTTCACATCCTTGTGACTATTTCCTAACTACCGATTTGTACTTCTTAATCCCGTCACCTTTCCACTTTAACATTTAAAATTTTTTATTACTAGCTACTAAAATTGTGTGTGTGTTTTTTTGTTTTTTTTTTGTTTTTTCAGGAAGATGGCGATGATCTTTTTTTAAAAACTGAAAAAGATAATCGCCAAAAGGTGTCCGGAATCCTTCAACGTGTTCTCCTGCTTTTCCGGGCAGCGCAGTGTTCTTTTCCTGTAGCACAGTGGTACATCTTGCAGTTGAGATGGGCGAGAAAAGTCATGCAAAAGGTATGGAAATGTCTCAGTCATTTATGTGCTATGTTCAATAATTGAAATATACTAATATTCATTAATACTTATACTTACGACATTTTCTCAAGGAGTCCTGTCTTATAAATCTCTATATTTTATATTTATTTATAATCAGGCAACTTAGACCAAGTTCTTTCTGCTGAAAGACAAGGACTTTGAACTGGGTTTCTATGTTAGTCCCATCCTGTCTGGCAATAGAAAGTAGTAATATAGTCAGTTAATGCTGAGTAATTTCAGTTACTTTTTTTCCCTCATAGTCATTGAAAATCTAAACTCAGTTCAGGATTTTCCACCTGCTTCTGGAGGTGTTATATATGCTCTGTGGAGGCTTATGTATGTGGGGTCAAACCATGGAAAGTTAAAGTGAGTTCTTGGGTTTGTATTTCCTTCCAGTCGTCTGTGCCAGTCATTCTTCCCCTTGCTGTCTTCTGAGATGTGCACTTCATTTTGGCTCTCCAGCTGTCATGTTCTTTTACACTGACTTCAGCTGAAATGCAGCTGCATTCTTATCTAATCAGCCCGATGGGACATCTGCTGAGATGTCTCTTATGTAGCCCCAAGTCCTTTGTAGCCCTGTTGTCTATCTCTCAGAAATATGGAAATAAGTATTATTAACCCCAAATATCTTTAATTTGGCCCTTGATTAAATTTTATTTAAAACAAAAATCTGTAGCTTTTAAAAATAGGACCCCTTAGAGAGACTGAGTTTATCAAGTCGTTTTTGAAAATTAGCCTTTTTTAAAAAAGAAAACGTTTTGTGAAAAGGTTTTTGAGGCTGAGAAAATTACACGTTTCCCAAACTACTAGGATTAATAAGCTATAGGCCTGGAGCTTTAGTGTATAGAGTAATTGCCATGCTCACTGTGCAGTGCCCTGTTGGCTTATCTTCAAGGTTTCTTGTGAACCCCTGGGCATCACTCACAGAAGTAACTCATAAGTTCTCTCTAATCCAGTATTCCTCAAATTTATCTGAAAATTTTATTGTCAGCCCATGAATTTATTAATCTTAGGAGTGGTGCCAGAGGACTAGAGGTCCATTCTTATAGAAGTATATACAATATATAAGTGATTCCCTGTATTGGTGTATTTATACCTCTTTAATTTGAACTTTTTTGGGCATATAATTTCATTATAAATTTGGCTGTAGCAAATTAGAATACAGTTTGTCGAAATGGTAGAACACATCTTGCCATCAAAATTATAAGATGTTTATCCATGAAAGGAAAAAATTTCCTTGTTTATTGTCGAAATTTAAATGACTGACAAGGAGAGGGAAATACCTTATTAACCTTGTGTTCATTCCTTGATAGCACCATAATATATTGCATGTAGGTTACAATAATTTTTTGGTATGCATAATTATTTGAAGCTATTTTAATCTAGTAGTTTTAAAAATTAAATGCACATATTAACAATTTAAATAATTCAAAAGAGTTAGTGAAGATATCAGTGAAATAGTGGGGTAAGGACATCTAAAACATCACTCTTTGCCAAAAAAAAGTGGAAATATTGGTAAAAATTGTTAGAATCAACTTTTTCAGAACTCTGGAAATTAACCAAAGGCTTACAGAAATCCGGAGAGCATTTATCCGAGAAACTTGAAAATACGGCTCATTCATGATGAAAAAATCAATAGATATTGTCTCTGAGGAAGTCTGGATATTGGACCTACTAGACAAAGATTATTTTTTAAAAAACAAAGCCAAATTTATTTTTTCGTTTCTTGCATTTGAAGTACTCCTTGATGACATCTTTGGCCTGAAATCTTTGCTGTAGTCCTTAACCACCACACAACTGCAACCAGCCACTTTCTGGGGTTTTCCCTCTCTATCAATTTTACAAAGGCTTACCCATTCCCTTAGTTTCTTGTTGTCATCAACCTTAATTAAGTTGATTTGGTGTTCAGCTCAAAGGGCCTCCAGCAACTTGCCATACACAGGCTCATCACAGGTGGGTACAAGCACACAAGGATGGGCATGGCACTGGTCTTAGGCTTTGACAGCTTTCTGAACTCCACATGATAGGCCATCGTGGATGAGGGCGGTCTTCAGCATCTTTTGTAAAGCAGTATTAATGTCTATTACACCTCCAGCAGCAATGCATTCCTTGGCCATGGCGGTGGGTTATGGGTGGAGCCGAATCTTGAATGCACCCAAGCCTCTGCACTACTCCACAGCAGCAGGAAAAGAGGAGACAAAAATTTTTAATCAGCTATTTTAAATATGTTTAAAAAACTGAAGGAAACCATTTCTAAAGAACTAAATGAATACATGAGAATGGTGTCTCACTAAATAGAGAATATCAATAAAGAGATAGAAGTTATTTTTAAAAGACCAAATAGAAATTCTGGAGTTGAAAAATACAGTAACTGAGAAGAAAAGGTCACTAAAGAGACTCAACAGCACATCTGAGTAGGCAGGAGAATCAGCAAACTTGAAGATAGGGCAACTGAGATGATGTAGTTTGAGGAACAGAAGGTAAAAAGATGAAGAAAAACAAACAGAACATCACTGACTTATTGGGACACCAACGAACATACCCTAGTACTCAATTGGAAGTTTTGGAAGGAGAAGAAAGAGGAAGAAAGAAATTTTAGAGTAATGATGGCCAAACATGTCCCAAATTTGATGAAAAACATGATCTACACATCCAAGAGGCTCAAACAACTCTAAGTAGGTTAAAGTCAGAGGTCCATCCTTAGACATATACCACACTGTTAAAAGCTAAACACCAAGAGAGAATCTTGAAAGCAGTGAGAAGCCCTTCATCACATATAAGAGATAACATTAACAGCTGATTTCTCATCATAAATCATGGAGGCCAATAATCTTCAAGAGTTAGTGGAAAGTAAATTTCCTTCTCACGCTGGACTCCCAATCCATAGAGGCAACCACTATAACTTATATCCTTCTAGAAATATGCAAACAAGTATCAATAATTTCACCAGCTCACCCAGAAGTTATAGAGAAGATTCTCACTTGATATAACATTAGCAGGAAAATAAAAAGATCTATTTATATTTTTCTTAAAAGTTTTTATTGACCAAAAATGCCTAGCTAAATTTACTTCGGATGTAGACTTAGAAAAAACTAATTTATGGAAAACAAGGAAAGCCTGAGAAACAGCCAAAATCCCTAAAGAGACATGATATCAAAATGTAGTATGGTGTCCTGGATGGGATTATAGAGCACAGAAAAGACATTAGGTAAAAACTATGGAAAGCTGAGTAAAGGATGATCCTTAATGTGTCCATATTGGTTCATTAATTATAACAAATCCACCATACTCATGCAAGACATTGATAATAGGGGAAACTGGGTGTTGGTATATAGAAACTTCCTGTAGAATCTTTGTAATCTTTCTATAAATTTAAAACTTTTCTAAAAAAAAATGTTTATTTTAAAAAAACATGCAGAATAACAACTCTTGTACCATAAAACGTTAAGTCAGGAAAATGTGGGTCAGTTGTTTTTTTCAAATACTTTTTTTGTAGAAACAATATAAAAATTGAAAGATAGTATAATGAACTTTTATTTATCATCAAATTTTAAATTATCAGCATTTCTTGGCTATAATTTAATCTTTCTTTGTAGTTTGTTTATTTCTCTATACCTGTGTGTGCATGCATGCGTGTGTGTTTTCAGTATTTTAATTCAGTTCCTTGAGACCATCCTGGCATCTTGCTTGTCCATATGCATTTCTTACTATTTAATACTTTTTTTTCAAAAATAATGACCATATTATTTGTGTTAGTTTTCTATTGTTGCATAACAAATTACCCAAAACTTACTATCTTAAAGCAACAATAAACGTTTATTATCTAACTCACTTTTTGTAAGTAAGGAATTTAGGAGTGACTTAAAATGGGTGATTTTGACTCGGTCTCTCATGAGATTGCATACCAAAATGTGGACTGGAGCTGCAAGAATCTGAAAACTTGGGCTGGAGATCTGGTTGCAAGATGGCTCCTGCACATGGCTAAAAAGTTGATGCTGGTTTTGGCGGAGGCTTCCTCCAGAGCAAGTGATTCATAAGACATCAAAGAAGCTACAGTGCCTTTTATGATCTAATTTCACAAGCCACATATAACCACTTCTACATTCTGCTCATTAAAAACTAGTTTTCTAGTCTGATCTGTACTCAAGGTGAAGGAAGTTAAACTCTACCATTGAAGAGATGAGTGTCAGAGCATTTGTGGACATATTTTAAAACCACTACACTATTATACCAAAGTTAACAGTTTCTTTTTATTATTCAATACCTGGCCCATAATCATATTTCTCTGATTATTTTGAAATTTTCATTTTTACAGATTTTTTGTTTCTTGGTTTCATGGTCCAAATGAGGTACACTAATATTTGGTTGTGAGATAACACGAAAGACAATATCATCAAGTCAGACTCATAAGAATCAAGAATGTTACCCAGAATCAAACTCGACCAATAATTTCAAGGGTAAAGGTAACCAAAAGTCACAAGTGAAACATGGAGAAATCTGGAATTGCATAGGTCTTGTCTTGCGGCGGAAGAATGTGTCCTGGCCTCTATTAAACATGACACAAAAGGGAACTATTTAAGTTATTGAACATCTTTTTATATTTCAATTATTGAACATCTCTTTAATTATATAGCTTGTGTGGCATTTTTTAGGGAGCCATACTGCATAAATCCATACATTCTAGACCTATTTATAGACTCTCTACATCTAGTAAATATTATTAATTTGTTTGGCAAGTCTGTCATTAGCATGCTTACAGTGAGATTTAATGAGATCATGGTTTTTGGAAGTGAATAGTAGGGGGAGAAAATAGATTACAAGTTTGCTGCTAATCCTTTTCCTCTCAGGTTCATGTCTTTTACATCTCTTATTCTATTAGTTTCTTTTAACTATTTTTTTCTAGTTTTTATTTGTTAGAGAAACTGGGTAATTTTTCTATACATCTTCTGGATTTGCCTGATTGTATTTTCATTTAGTTTCATTTAACTTGTTCCTCTTTTATTTCCTATAAGGTGGTAATTTGTACTCATCGAGGTAGAGAGGTTTGATTAGATTCAGGTTCCCATTTTCTTAGAAATGAATCCATCATGAGTGGTGTTTTATACTTCCCTGTCACATCGTATCACATGGTACAAGTCTTTTTATCTCGCTTTTAGTAATGGTGAGTTGGATCATGTCCCACACAGCCATGTTGCCTATGAACTTTTTATTTGATTTTGCATTTATTGATGATCTTTGCAAGAATTCTTATTTTATTAGAGTTGCCAAATGACTTTCTAACTGTCATTTATAGATCATTTTTTTAAAGCTATGTATGCATACCTTTTTTTCGTATTTGTTTTTAGATACTGCATATAGTTTTATTTTAGTTGAGAGTTAGATACTTAAATTTCTTTATTTTGTTTTTTATGCCTTTGGAGAAAGTCAGGGCAAGTCACATTTAATTCTTTTTGTACAGGCAAAACTGAGTGACAAGAGAGGGTGGTTTGGTTAGAACCTTTTTTCTCTTTTGAGTTTGAGCCTAGTGAATTTCTTGAATTAAATTTGTGAGCTAAGTTTCTGAAAGTGTATACCTGATTTCAGAGATATCGTCTTACATGGTATAGGAACTGTGCTTTGTTATCCATTCTCTGTGGTTTATCTTACCTGCCTTGTTTATTGCTTTATAATTTCCATAAATAACATATTCTGCTGATTAACATATTCTGTCATTATTTCCTTTCAGATTCGAATGAAAGGGTCTCTTCCTTCACTGAGTCCTTTCCCTCAGTCCTTACTTAATTACTGTAAAGGAGGTGTAGCATTCTTTCGACCTGGAGCAACTGGAGACCACAAGCTTGATGAAGTTTCCATTAAAGCAATAGGTTTGTCCAAAATGCACTACTTGCTTAGAAATTAGGCCTAAATCTTAATAATGATATATTTTTCATTTGATTTGGGAAAATTTCTGTACAACAAAACACTACACTGGCAATGAAAAGGCAGTATGTGTATGTCACCACCATGGAAACATAAAGTGAAGAAAAAAGCTAGCTTGCAAAACAGCACAGTATGATTTTATATATTTTTGTGTACTTCTTTTTAATAAAAAATTGTTTTATATTGGAAATAAAATTTTTAGTATTGAAAAATTTTAAACTTAAATGTCTATAAGTGATTTTCCAAGTAAATTAACTATATAGTATTAAGTAGGGCTATATGTATTGGCTCGAAAAAGATCTATATATACTGGGAAGTTTAAAGCAAGTAAACTAGTAAACAGTTATTTACTCTTTAAAAATATTTTCATGCAACTGACATGCACGAAGTATTCTAGAATAATATGCATGAAAATTCTGAAAGACTCTGACTTTTATAAGATGTTGGCAATGAGCATATATTTCTTTGATAATTAACAAAGTAGACATTTATTTTGAATAAAATAACCAGCAGTGATGAAATTGCTACAGTATTAATGTACATGATGCACACAATCTTCTTTCATATTTGTATTCCTGATTTAGGCTGCTTCAGAGAACTTTGTGCTTTGTGTTGGATGCTGCATATCCGTGACAAGTTATCCTATAGTTGCAGACAGTATCAGAAAGCAAGAGAAAATGTGGAAGGAAAGAAGGTATTTACCTGCAAAAGAATAAGAAAAATGAACAAGCATTACTCATGAAATTATTGTTGATAGATTTTACTGTTTGTATCAAAATTTTCTTTTGAACTCATTCTGGTCTGTCCACCTCAAGTGAAGAAGAAATTAATTTTTTCAATATCCATTTAGGACCTTGAAGTGGAGTTTGACTCTTGTATGGTTGAGCACTGTCTCAGTGCAGTGGAATGGGCTTGTAGAATGCTACCCTTCTCTCGATTTTCTAATATTGAAGAACTTATTCAGGATCTAATTTTGAGCCTTATTGGAGAGCTGCCACCAATCAGAAAGGTAATGTGAATACAGGTAAAAATAAACTAAATCATAATGAGAGACTTTAAAGAATTTTTATTTTATTTTAATTAAGAATGATGATGCTCATAAAACTTATTTTCAAATTTTTTCTGAAGGTAGCAGAAATTTTTGTGAAAGCATTTCCTAATCCTGAAGACATAAGGGTTCCTTTAAGAGAAAAATATCACTCTCTTCATCAGAGACTCAGACACTGTGTTGTGAAAGGTATTTGTCATTTCTTAGATGTCTGATAAATTACTGAAGATTTTCATTTTGTCCTGAAAGCATTTATTTTCTAGTGCTTATGTTTTTATGCATTTCTCCTTTCCTTGGAGATAGGAGTATGAGAAGGCAGAAGCATTTCCCCATTACAGAAGCACCAATTCTGTTGCTTTGGAACCAGACAGTGCTGGCTTCATATTTTTCTTAGCACTGTCAGTAACAGTGTGACTATTGGCAGGTTGCTCAGTCTCTCTGATTCTCATTTCCTCATTTGTAAAATGACTCTATTAATACCTTCTTCGTGAATGTGTATTGAAAGAGGATTGAATAAGATAAAATATATAAAATGAGGATATAGTGCTTTGCATAATGTACATATTTTATTGAAAACTAGTGCTCTTCTCCATTTATGGTTTATGCTTCGTACTTTATCCTATATATTCAAGATGACCTTGTGGAAACTTTTTTATTGTGGTAAAATATACATAATATAAAATTTACCATTTTCAAGTGTATAGTTCACTGGCATTAATATGTTGACAGTGTTACAGAAATTTTTAAAGAATTCAAATTACCCTCTTTTAAAGAACTATAATCTAGTATTTAAGTCTAGTTATGTCCTATGATTGCACATTATTGCATTAATATACTTGTATTTGTGATTTTTTTATTTTTCTTAAGACTTTTTTGACATCCTCTAAAATGTCCTGTTTATGTATTGATAATGTTTGAGATTTTTTCTGTAGGCAGCCTTGAAAAACTTCCTTTCCAATTGTTTCCCATTACTCGAAGTCAGAAAGTTGTTATTGTTTCTTTTTTTGTTTTGTTTTGTTTTTAATAACTATCTTTTGATTTTTGAGATAGTTAAATTCTTAATTTTTTGTTTTCCAGAGTATACTTTTTTTTTTTTTAAGAGTCTGGATTGTGTCCCTTTTATTATTCCTTAGTAGACCTTCTCTAGCTTTCGCAGTTCCACCTTAAAGGTGGAAAGTCATGGTATGGACCATGACTTTTTAATGAATATTGAACAAGCATGATCTGTAAAAATGTAGAAATAAGCCTTAGTTGTCAGTTAGATTTCATGTCCCCTGGAGGGACCAGAATTGGGTCCCTTTATGTCTTGAATTGAAACAGTTTAATGAACTGTAAAGTCTTCCATTCTTTTCTTTCTAGGTCCCCAAACTGAGGAAATGATGTCTGTTATCATGCATTCTGTCCATAAAGTGAGGGTAAAAGCCCTAAAACGTGTGCAGAGAAATATAGGTTCTTTTGAAATGAATATATGGGAGCCAATTGAAGAAGAAAAACCAGCCGAGGTTCCAGGTTTTGACAGATTTTCCCTGGGGACTAGTCTGAGCAGGAGCACACTCACAGAACTAGGGAGTTCTGTGGTACATAGTGATGCAGATACAGCAGATACCTTCTCTGAAGCTTTGTCAGTTGAAGAAAAAAGTAGGATACATTTCTATCAAAGGTACAGTTGAGATCGCTTAATAGCAGGCATTCACTTCCTTTGGAAAACAATGCTTTCAATGTTTCATTCAACTGATGAGCTGATTTTTGCCCCAGCAACCTCACTGATTGTACTATTAACAGTGAGAATAAATGCTACCCTCCCTACTTACGAGGATGTTGGAATGTAAAATGAGACCGTACATTTGAAAATGTATTTCATCTAAAATACTATTGAGAAGTGAAATAATTTTGTCATGTGAAAGTATAAAATCAAATGAGTAGATAAAATTCTGTAGTTTATGGGAGGACTTTTAGTTCTTTCAGTAATCTTTCAGTACTCTTCAGACTTAAATTGTGTAGGATTATTGAGTTAGCTATATTGTTTTTAAGTTCCTAGGGAAGGAAATTGCACATTCATCTTTGAATCTTGCCCATAAATTGTTGAAAGATTCTTGCTTATCATTTAAACTTCTATTTCTCTGATTTAAGCAGATTTTTTTTCTTTCTAGTATCTTCAATGCAGTTTATCCTTCCCATGACTGAAAGACTATGTAATCAACCATAATCTTGCTTAAGTGAAATAATTCCATCTACTTCAAACATCTGCTTAAAACATATCTAATAGTATTATAAATGGTGTGCATGTTTGATCAAACAATGGCATTGTTAGCATAGGAATACCCTGGAGGCTGCTTATTGTGCAATTTGAAGAAGAGACATGGTGACTTCAGCCCAGGTGCCTAACAGGAACCTTTTATTTCTCTTATTGAGAGAACTAGGGATCTGTGTTCTGCCCTAAGGGCCATGTTGAAAGGAAACAGATTTTAAAATAATTACAGTTGGCAGTTAAGGTGAAAGTGTTTAAAAAATCCCCAACTTTCGCATAGTAAGGAATCCCAAGGGCAGCCCTGCTTGCTGCACGTTGTACAGAGGGAGCTGAAAAGGGAAACAAGGAACTGCAAACTAAGATTGTTCTGGTAGCTGTGATTGTTATTGACTTTTTATTCAGTAGAGGACTTTTTTTTTTTCCCCCTGAAAAGCATTTATGTTTCTGTATAGGGAAATGTCTGCGAACACATTTTAATCTCTTTTAACACAAATTTTTCCTTTTGATAGTAAAGTGTTATATTTTTTAGATTCAGAATGTTCAGCTCTAGTAAACACGAAGATCATTTAGTCTAACCCTTTATTTGAAAGATAGGTTATCAAAAAAAGGTAATCCAAAAAAGGTAGGTAATCAGAAAAAGAGGCGTTAAAAAAAAGATAGGCATTAAAAAAAGGTGACTTAAAACGTGGAGAGCATTTTTATTGTCAATTCTAAGTTTTAGTAATTAAATGACTTTTGTCTTTTCAAATTTTGTTTTGCTGTAGAAACAGTGCAAATCGCGTGGAATTGGCATTGATTGGTAAGCCCAATGATAAAAAGAAAATATGTAATCAGAAAGAAAATCCTAAAAGAAAAGAAGATCATGAAAAGTTATTACAAAATGCGCTTCCTATTATAGGTGTTTGGGAATTTGAACGCGATGATGATGAATATATTAAATTCCTTGATCTCTTCTTGAGTTATGTTCTTGAAAGGGACCTACTTGGTTCTAAGGGTCCTGGCATTCCATTTCTAACCAGTTTTTCTGGACATCTTAGAGAACATGAACTTAATTCATTACTTTTTGATGTACATACAACATTAAAACGACGTCAGGGTAAAACCAAAAGCCAGAACATATTTAGAGCTGGCTCCTGCTTTGTTCTTGCTCCGGAGTTTAATGAGTCTGAAAAATCAGAAAGCCAGGCACTTTCTGCTTCAGTACTGGTTAATCAAAGGATCAGACCTTTTTTAGAGAATCCTTTGAATGAAGTTAATAAAAATGAAGGAAAGATTGGATTGTTTGTTTTAAAAGAAAAGTTGGATTGTTTGGTTTAAAAGAAAAGTCCGTTTACAGAATACAAGATGACAGTGCAGAGAAGCCTTTAATCCAGAGATTGTCGAACCATAGTTTTCGGACTCCTAAGTCTGTTAAAACTAGAAGATATATTTTCAAAGCAATTCAGTGCAATGATGTTAATCCTCAAGAAGATCTTCCTCTAGAACTAGATGGTACATTTGGCAGTATAAGGAGGCTGCTGGAATGGATGATAAGATGGTCTGATAGAAGATTGCTCTGTGATTCTAGTCTCACTGAGTCATCCTGTGAGTACAGTCCTGTCATTCGTGTAAAAACCTCTACAGCTGCCATACTTACATCATTGTGGCTTTTGGAACAACCCTATTTTGCTACATATAATGCAAAAACTGCCATTATTAAGGTAAGTACTTGAATTTATTACATACAAATGAAAATTTTCATTTTAGATTAAAACTATATTTATATTTTCCCAACGGTCAACCCATTTCCCGTTTGCCCGTAAAATACTCATCCGCGGCACTTGAGGCTGCAGTGTTTACCCCGAGATAACTAATGAGTTACAGTCCTAACCGTATCCCCAAAGTTTGCTATGAAATAGCTCGCTTTTATTATTATTTTTATATTGCTCTAGTATATCGATAGTCTTTGGAAACAAATGACATCATTCTATCTGTAGCATTCTGTTTTTAGTTGTGATATTTTCATTTACAAAATATAGGAATTCTCGATCGCTGAAAATGTTAAATCCTAGGAAACATAGCATTCCTACATGTGATGTTAACATCATTCTCAAACAGTTCTTAGCCAGAGATTCATTTGATGAATCCAGTTTACATATACATTTCTTTTACATTAGAATTAAAGAGAAATTCTATTCAGAAATAACTCCAAGAACAGTTTTTATATTTTCACATTGAAATCCGGATTTCATTTTGCCTCAAGAAGCAAGTTTATGTAAAATTAAATTAACGCTGGCAGCGAGCTGCACTTTTTTTCTTAAATGGGAAATGAGTTAAAGAATCACTAAGAAACTAAGTTAATTATAATCTATATCATATAATTCTTTTCCTCAAGTGTTTCCTTTAATTCTTAAAAGTAATTAATTAGGGTAAAATTGCTTTCATAGAGGCTGTGAGGTTATGAGTATTTCATGTGTGTTAAAAATTTTTTTAAGTGCTATTATAGGATCTGTTTCTAGTGATTTATCTTGCTCATTTGTTTAGAAAATTTCCCTTTGTTTCTTCATTTTCCTTGACTCTGTATGTCGATTTCTGCACATTCAATTAAACAGCCACATCTCCCAGTCTAGACAGAGTGGTCTTGTGTAGGAGATGAATCTTGTCACTTTAACCTGGTTTGAGCTATTGGTCGTCTCTGAAAACTTTGTGATTGTCTAAGCCTCCTCCTTTATTCTTAGTGGCTTCAAGTAGTTGAGGGTATGCCTAGCCCCCTCAGTATCCCATCAGGGTGGATCACATTTATTCTCTACATAAAGGCTGATGAGAAGCCAGATCCTCAGGCAGCATGTGGCAAAGTATGTAGTTAAGGCTCTTTGGGGAAGGAACTGGGAGATGGGTGTCTTCGCCTGCTCACTGGTATATTGGGCCAGTGATATAGCTACAGGAGGATGCTCTTGCACCCATTAAGATTGGGCCCTGGTATATAGATAGCTACAGGAGGATGCTCTTGCACCCATTAGCAACTGCTTCTTTGTTTGTGGTTGTGGGACTCATGAATGCAAGCTCCATTGGCTATCAGAGACAAGTGATCTGAGAACCTGTCCCTCAGTCAGCAGCTGCAAAAGCTAGGTGCCAGATGTATGTACAAGTTCCTTCCAGAGAGATGCTGGTGAATAGGAGAGGGCTAGATGGAGAAGGCTAGGGAGGTGTCCATCAGCTTCCCTTGTCTCTGGGGATCATGACCAGCCCTTCGATGTGTACTAAATTATAAGCCTGACCCTCAGGCAGCAGCTTTCAAAGTATACGGGTAGACTTCTTCCAGGAGAAGACTGGGAGGTGGGTGTTTTTACCTGCCTCTCTGTGCTGAGCCTTGTGAAGATAAAGGCCAGAGTGCTCAGGCACCTGTTAAAACTGCTTCTTTGTTTGCTATGGTCTTGAGGGTCTTGTGGATGCAAGACTTACTGTCTTTTATGGATAGGTGTTTTGGAGTCCTGCCCCTCAAGTGGAAGTCTTCAAAGTTAGGGCACTAAATGTGGGTTCCAAATCTTTTGCTCCTAGTGGGAAGCTGGGACTTGGGAGTTCTCTCCTAAAAGGGCACTTTGCTAGGAATGGGTTTACATGGTGTGTCTCAGCCTTTCCAACATGTTTCAGTGTGAGTATTTTCTCATTCACTTGATGTATAGAAGTCAGTTTCTGGATTTCATTCTGCAATAATTGTTCCATGTGTAGTTGTACATATAGTGTGTTTGTGGGAGGAGGGGAGTTTCGGAGCCTCCTATGTCATCATGTTAGTTGACCCCCCTCCATTTTCTAATTCTGCATTCGTTCTATTTTAAAGCACCTTCATTCTAAAATCGTTTATTCTCGGATGAGGGGTATGAATGAGTGTGTACATGTGTTTTGTTTTATTTTTAATGAATTTTTGCAGGAGTTTTTTTTTTTTTTGAGGTCAGTTTCTGTTATCTTAAGGTAATTTATAAGATACTCTGATATTTCTTGTCATTGAAATTTGTGATTCTAGGTGGTACATACCTAAGTTTCTAAGTAAGAAACAAAAGAGATATGTTGTATTTTTAGCTGCATATATTTTTGCCCACTGTGTCATTTTGAAATAATTACTAATGTTTTTATAATAGCAAAGAGAATTAAATGAAGGCAACTTTGCGTTTTTATTGCTATTGTTTTGTGACCTAAAACATTGGTGATATACCTTACAAATTTGCAAGGCTGATTTCTTTTGAGTACTCTTTAGGTGGTCAGGTTCATTATTTCCAGGTAGAATAAAGACTTGGTCATTGCTTCAGCATCAAATATTGAGTTGATGTGCACTGTACACTTGATAAATGAACAAGAAACTTAACCAAGAGAAGTTCTGTAGAAAGTGTTAACAATATGAAAACATAACGAAAGAATGAGATTCAGTAGTGAAATCTAAATAATACAAATGGCTTGTTTTAGGTGCAGGAGAATCATTACACTGAGTCTCAGAGTGGACCCAGTGTTGAGAGTGATTGCAAAACAGATGTTGGCTGTTCTGTTGCAGTTTCCACTCAAGGCGGGCCTGAGGAAAGAAATGATCAAAATGAATATTGTCAAAGTATCTTGATGTAAGTTGCTGATGACAGCCTGTTTTCAGTTGGTGATACTTTGTTTGGTGTTTGGGCTTAAAGGGAAGAATTTAACCCTTGAAAGTTAAAGGAGTAAGCATTTCTTTGAACTAGAGAATCAGGAAGTGAGCACTTTCTGAAGTGCTTCAGCAATTCATTGCAAATTGTTTCTTTCATGTTACTCTAGCTTACATCTTCTAAGAGAGGAACTAATTCACCCTGAGAGATTCCTTTATTATATTAATTAATTTCTTATGTCACAGGAAGTTGAACTAATCATTTCATCCATTTTTACATATGAAGCAATGCTATGAGTTTTTATCTTTAAATATCAAGGCCGAAGCCTTTATAGCAGGAAGATTCCTTTGTGAGAATGGCAGATTTAGATAAATCGAAGTTATTCTAATCTTTTGAGTAAATAAAAACCTTTCATTGAGCTTCTACTATGGACCAGACATGTTTAAAAACAAGACTTTATAAATATGAAAAACAAGTTTGTTCTTTTTCAATAAACTAAATCAATTGAAAGCAAGCTCTTTGTTTCCAAGAATGAGTTATAATTTTAGCTGCTTCGTTTTTGTCAGTAGAATGCCAACTGAAGCCGAAAATCCTGAAATAAAAGAAACCAATGATGAAATTATTTCTGTCACTGGTGATACTGAAAAAGAACGTATAGGTATTGATGAGGATCTTTTAGAAGTAGAAACATTTACACAGGAGGAAGTGAATACATACCTTTCAGTCTATGAAGGTCAGTTCATTTGGCTAATTTTTTTGTTTGACTTTATTAATTTGGAATTGGCGAATGATTACCTGTGATAACTTGCTTAGTCTTATATCTAAATTAGTATGTTTATAATAGCCTGAAACCAAAAATTACAAGAGAAGGTAATATTTATCAAATATTGAACATATTAACTCATAATCTAAATATAAATTATCAGGCCTTTTGCCTTGCTTATACAATTGTTATGGGCCTCTTCTTTTCTATGAACCAATTCTATGAACTTTCCTTGGCAGTCTTCCTTAAAATAGAAACTCTTGAAGCTTTATGAAGCTTTATATGCACTGATATGAAGCCTCTTAAGGCTCATTTCAGATTTACTTGATGAAGAGGGATTGTCTCCAGGTGTTCTAAAAACTTTCTTTAAGGAGGATAGAAAATATTTCTGCCATTATATTTGTTTCCTGTAATATTCCTAAACCTTCTAAAAAGTAATTGGTCATTTTTCAAACAGTCAGTTTTCCTTTCCTCCTTGTTTCCCTATAGAAGATGCCAAAGAACCTGTTGAAAGTCTCAAAAGTCTCAGTATTGCCATTGACATGCAGACTTTACCACAGCCTTCAGAAGAAGTAAGTCAATAAATAGTGGATAAAATTATTTAAATTACACCTGTTTTTATTTAATACATGCAACCAAGGTTATTTCTCTTAAAAGTACACTGTAGATTATAGAGTATAGCCATGCCATGCAGCATTTTTCTTTCACTGAACATATATGATTAGTAAGATGTCTTTTAATTTCAGGCAGTGCAATTTTTATTTCATAAACTGCTGTAGAAAGTTAACCAAGAGTAATGAAAGTATTCTTTATTCAAAATATATAATTCAACTGTAGTATGTAGTTTTTACACATGTATACACTGTATTTTTCTTAAAATGCCATACACTGGATTTCCAGATGGAACACAGACATTTCAAATTACTGAAACAATTCCTTTAAAAAGGATTAGTTTTTCCTGATTTTATAGTTTTTCTCACAGTGCACTTGCCTATCATGTAGTGATAGTTGTATGTAAAAGTATTTGTAAATACTTTATAAAGGATTTCTAGTGACATCATTTGTCTTTGTACTTTAATATGCTCAGTGGCTCAGGGTGATAGGCCAAAGGCAATGCATACAGTATCAGGATATGGTCAGGGCAGGACTGGTAGAACATTTTAATATTTGGTTTCTCACTTGCTTTTAAACTGTTGTTACTCTGGGCAAGCGGCTGATGTGAAACTCAAGATACCTAGGATGGTGATACCTATTTGTTTCACCTCTTTTCTTTTTGGCTACTATTAATTTTAACAGCATTCCACAGAAGGAGTTCAGTGTCCAAGGGAATCATTGGAGACATACATGGAGCAAAAATCAACTGGACAGAAAGGGTAAGGGGAAAAAATATGGAAGTGGTTGTAACTGCTTTGTTTACTTCCGTGAACAAAGCTTAAGGCTCTCAAGGCTCATCTAGGATTCACTTGATAAAGAGGTTTTTCTTATAATTTACAATATATATTTTATGGAGGTATTATATTTCTAGTGAAATTGTAACTTCAACTTAGAGCAATGATTTTTAGTAAATGTTATGCTTCTGCAAAAAAATATGGAAGTGGTTGTAACTGCTTTGTTTACTTCCGTGAACAAAGCTTAAGGCTCTCAAGGCTCATCTAGGATTCACTTGATAAAGAGGTTTTTCTTATAATTTACAATATATATTTTATGGAGGTATTATATTTCTAGTGAAATTGTAACTTCAACTTAGAGCAATGAATTTTAGTAAATGTTATGCTTCTCGGTAGAGTAAAATAAATAATGATATCTAAAATATCTTTTGTTCAGCCATGACTGTCAGCCTATCAAAGTAAAATATAGTTGTAAATAGATCACAGTTTATTCAGCTGCTAATTAGGGAAGCAGCCTTTCATACTGATTCCATTTTTATTGGATCAAATGAAGAACCATTATGGATCATAATATGTATGTATAATCTTTCACTGCTGTGGTATAATTACACACACTGTTTAAGGCTCTGATGTGCCCACACTCTGCTGGCTAGCTTATTGTTGCTTCAAGGAGAGCTGAAGGCAGTTTTCATTTGTTGCAGCTTAGGGACAATTTCTTAATTTTCAGAATTTGTGAAGTTTTAGAATTTTAGAATTACCTTGCATAAGAGAGGTAACAATTCAATTTTCTTTCTCTTCTGAATATTCAAATTTGTTCATTTCTGTGGGTAATTAACAAAAAGAATATATTTAATGTGCCTTTACAAGTAATATAGACATTTCTATTAATAAAAAAAAAACCAGTCCTTATAGTTTAAAATGTGATAATGGGCTCTGTAGTGTTCCTAGGCAAAGTGCCTGTCTCTTCCATAGGTGAAATTTGATGTCCCAGCTAACCTCATTTGTCCCCTCATTTTAGATTCTGTCTCTGTTGCCAAACTCTCAGCAGTATTCAAGTCATATGTTAAGCTATCCAGACATATTCTTTGCTTTTGTTTGAATCTGTTGTGAATTGCTATGGAGACAGACGTAAACAGATTGTAATTATGAGCTAAGCATTACAGAGGATTAGAGGACTTTTAGACGTGTAGATGGCTGAGGGTTTGATCAGTTGTACCTTAGGTAATGTGAAGAATATCTTGCTTCCTAATCAATTATTTATTAATCTTTAATTATAGTATGATTGAAGACTTTTCAAATCCTGAACATGCCCTTCCCCATTCATTTTGTGTGGATACAAGTTCAGAAGTTTCTAGGTAAGAATTTTTGCGTACTGTGTCATTTTAATATAATCATGTTTTACAAATAGATAAGAGAATGAAGCGAAATTTTTGAAATAATCACTAAACATTTTCACCAAAAACTAGGAGAATAAAGGGAAAGCAACATGAAGCCTTAAAAAGCAAAATTAAAAAATTTTAAATCATTCCTTTAATTTAAAAAAATGTAAATTTTTTAAAAAAGTAAAATAGGTGCACATTTCTGACACCTTTAATGAAAAGATTTTCTTCTAACAGTTGTTTTAAAGACATACAGGAACTATTTAAGAACAGTGGGTATATTATGAAAAGATGTAGTTGCTCATTTTCAGCCTCTAACAGGTTTCTAATAGCATATAAAATGATTTTAATTTTTTTAGTTTAATTTAATTAGAATACAGGTTCATCCACTTCTATCTTTTGAATTTTTTTACAGAGCTTGAACAGTGTGTTTATTGTGTAGAAATCTTGCTGAAATAAGATAATATAGCACAGCTTTACTTTAGAAAAATTCTCCATAATTAGAATTTATCTTTTTGCCACTTGTTGCAAGCAAAGGCCAGTAAATTTGTCTTAAAATGGGCAAGTCAGTTCTAATACCTGTTTTTCATGGATTTGCCAAATAAAGTCTTATTACAGAGTATATTAGATACTTGATAATAGGCAAATACTGCTGAAAGGGGATTTGTGTAAGCCCAAATAAATCTAAATGCAATTCAATATGTGCTTTTCTTTTTAGAGACAGTGGTCATTTTATTTGGATATAATGACTAGTTCCTTACTTAGTGTATGAAATGGATTTGCTTAGAAAACATTGAATACTTGCTATGTTTAAGGAATCATCCCAAAACAATCATTTTATTAAAAAAATACTTACTTTGACTTGTAACTTTTATTTTTAAATAAGTTTTTTTTTGGTTAGGATTTAATTATAAGTATGAACTGTGTGATTTGTTTGGAAATGAAATGTTCACAACACTGTTGTTTCACTTTAAATGATGATCAGCAGAAGTCTGCTGTACTTATTTCAGAATTAAACATTTTTTTAACCCATACGTTCCCTGGTTTTCTTAATTCCATTCTGGGTTATTAAATTTGGCCAAAAAAAATATTCTTAAGCCAAATTACATAGTCTGTACAGCTAATCAGAATTATTGCACAGGTCTCAAACTCAAATGCCTGCAGGGACCAGGCAAATAAAATACATGTGTGTACTGTCTGGGTTGTAACACCATAGGGAGGGCACCGTGGCTGACTAGACAGTACATGTCCCTTAATGAAGGCATTCAGATGAATAACTGCTGATGACAAATGGATCTAATGGCCAAGGGGTACAGAAAGATAGGCTTTGGGTTTACATTTTCTGAAAACTTCCAGAAAGCCTTTAAAGTAGAAGAAAAAGTAGGATCAGAATATTCTGGTTATAGACATCTAATTTTTTTTTTTTATGTGTAATTTGTATTTATATGCTTCCACATGTAGTGCACAGATCTCTGCATTTAAAGATAAATCTTCCTCAGTTCCACCTTTGGTGTCAAATGGAGTCGATGTTGCTTCACAGACACCTCCGCCAGCACCCCAGCAGACCCAGAGAACTGAACCCAGGGTTCGATTACCGGATTCTTCTGATTCTGTTAGGCAGATGCTCGAAGATGAAATGTTTAAATTAGTTCAGGTAAGCATATCTCCATATAAATAAGTAAATCTACACATGAAATATATGTAAGGTTTGAAAATATGAACAGACTTCTAGAAACAGACAAGTTAAAATTAAATCGCAAGGCTTCTTCGGGCACTCTTATTCAGAAGTTCCTAACTCTAGGGCTAACTTTAGGCTGAGCTACCCACTTTTCACAGTGACTACTTTGAGATGCAGAGCTGCACACAAAAGTGAAGTGGGGGATAATCCAAGCAGACCAGTGGACTCCTGTTCAAAGGTATCCAAATGTTATTTTCTAACACAGCCTGTCACATATTTCTTATCCTCAAACCAAATTTTGTTTCGGTTTGAAATTGTCAGCTGCATTTTAAAGTAATGTTCACTTTAACTTCCATCATCTTATTTTCACCTCGTTATCCTTTTTTCTACCAACAGTTTTAAATTATTTTCCTTTTCTGTTTCATTCCTTAAACATTAATTTCCCTCAGATCTAATCCTCTACTCATGTGTTCTACATTCACTTCCATATCCTTTTATGTGATGTGATATACTATTTTTATATTGGTGATACTTGATTTCTTTGAACTTAACAAGCCCTGATGAGAATACTTCTCCAGTATGTCCCACTGTCCCATGAAACTTACTGAAACTGACATTATTCTTATTCTCCCTGGTCCCTTCTTTTCCTTTTCCATTTAATAACACTATCTGTTTTACCAGCTTAAAGTTTTAGAAGCATTTCTCAAATTTGTTTTTGGATTACCTAGGGACTTTGCTGGTCACTACTCTGCATATTTAACAAATTCTCCAAATAATCCTGATGCACACAAAAGATTAAGAATCACTGTCATAGTCACCCTTGCCTTCTTTGACTACCCACATCCAGTGTTCGTCTATGCCCTCTTGCTTGTTTTGCCCGCACTGTCAGTATAGCCACTTTTTATTTCTATAGCTGTAGCCAACCTTAGAGTCTCAGAACTTCATACTTCCATTATCTTATATATGTATTTTCTATGACATTCTTTTTCAGATATTGTTTTAATACTCTATTTTCCTTTTTTAAATTTCAGGTATAAATTTGTATACTCTATGTTAACAATATTGTTTTAAAAATACAAATAGTGAAAGGAAATACATGAGAAGTACCAGTACTAGTTATCTCTGGGGATAAGATTATGAATGATTTTTACTTTCTTTTTATGCTTTTCTATATTTTCTTTTGTAATAAGGATGTGTTTATATATATATTTTATATTTTATATATTTTATATATATTTTACATATATAAAATATATTATATATATATAATGTGTCTGTGTGTGTGTGTGTATATAAAATTGAAGGGTACCTATGTATTTTTAACCTTCAATGTTTCCTTATTGGTTTGTTTTACCAAAAGCAAATTATTCTATTGTCTTGAAAGACTCCCCACCCAGCTTTTACCTTCCCTTTTTTCCCCATTGCATTTCACAAAATCATTGGTTCTCAGTGTGGTCCCTGGACCAGTAACATTAGCATCACTTAGATGTTAGAAATGCAGATTATCAAGCCCCCATCCCAGGCCTATTGAAATCAGCAGCTCTGGGAATGGGGCTCAGCAGAGTTCTTGAAATCCTCCAGGTAATTGTGATGTATGCTAAAGTTTGAAGACTGCTGCACTGCATATCTTCTCATTATAGCTGCTGTAAATTTCCTGTTCCGTCTAAACCAGTGCATATGCTAGTGGTTCCCAAGCTTTTTTGCACATTGAAATCACATGGTTATCTTAAAAAATAATAATCCTGGCTCCCATCCCGACATTCTGATTTTATTGGCATGGGGTGTGATTCGGCCATCGGGATTTTTTTAAAATGCTGCTCAGGTGGTTTTAATGTGCAGCACAAGTGGTCAACCACTTATGCATGCTTTTGCCTTTCACCTAGTTAGCCCTTCCATGGGAATTCCTCATTCTTTACCCGTTTGCTAATCTCTTCTGTTTTCTTTCCTGAAAATCTGTTCATGACACACCCATTTTAGGAATTCTTTAATTACCCTCACCCCACTCCATCATATCACTCCTTTATGATCCCTGGGTTGTTTATGTAAACTGCTTCACAATTGGTCCTAAATCTCATTTATGAGTTTATATTCCCAGCTGACAACTCCTTGAACACAGGAAGCTATTCTTTTTTCCCCTTTTTAAAAAAATCTCTCCCAGCTATGCTTTCTGTTCAGCATTCATGGGTCACACAGATATTAAGATAAAGGTATGACTATTGTGGAATACTCACATTGTTGTTGATTTCTTAGATTTTTTTCATTATATTTTAAGATGTTCCTTTAATTTTTATTTTATTATAGCTGCAACAGATCAACTTCATGAGCCTAATGCAAATAGTAGGATCATCCTTTGCTAATCTCCCAGATATACATCAGCTTCTACAGCAGTCTCAGACTATGCATTTGGCGGGAAGCCAGGTATCAAACCCTGCAAGAGGGAGTAGTGATGTTGAAGACGCCAGAAGAAATGTGAAGGAAAGATTTTCCATTAGACCTCAGTCCTTGGGAGGAGAGCACATGAGAGAGCCTGGCACGAACGGCCCACACTGCCCCAAAGGAATCGTGCAGTCTGATCAAAATAGTAATGGAAAGTCACAGGTAACTTGCATTTAAAAATACCATAAAGTTGTCCTAGTAGTTCAACTGTTGATTTTGTTATTTGAGTAAATAATATTTTTGGCAGTTACTATATTCTACCCCCCCCAAACATATTGAACATCATTTACAAAATAAGGAGTTTGTAATATATCCTGAGCTTACCTAGTAGCTTTTTTTCTTTTCCAGAATGTTCCACATGGGAGTGTTCCTTGTCAATTAGCAGGCCAGCCTCAAAATGGAGGATTACCTCCAGCATCTCAAAGCTTACCAACCACTTCGTTATCTTCAGCTCCTGCTGGAAATACTCACCTCTACCTCTTGTCTTTATCTTCTGCCATTCCGAAGACACCTAGACTTATCCCAGCTGCAAAAGCTTTCAGACCTGGTGATGGTTTTCCTTTGCTTCAGTTTCAGCCTAAGCATGAATTTAAGCCTCTTTCCTTCCATACAGAAAGAGTTCCACAGGTTCCCTTCAGGCCTCCACCACAGCCAAGGGAGGCATGGGGATCATCTGATTCCTTGCATTCTCCTCTGCCACAGAGAGGAATGCACACTACTTCAGCGTCCCATTTGAATTTGAGCCAGTATGATACTGAAGCCATAAAAAAGGCAGTCGAGCAGAAGAAATGGGAAAAAACTGTAAATACGGAAATTCCTAAGCATATAAACTCGGATCAGTATATGGGACAAGAAGACTTGACACCTCAACAGGATTCTTCAATATTTGTGAAACCTGAAAAACTGTTTAATGTTAAGCCAGGACCCCTTGAGATATCTCCTCAGAATTCCTTTGGACTTCCGTTATTGCACCTGCAACTTCAACCTCCAAATGTATTTTCTTCTGTCTCAAGAGCATCAGTTACGGTTCCCTCAATACCTATCAGTACTGTAGCAGAAGAAAGAAAATACCCAAAGCTATTATTACTTCATTCATATCTGTCTCAGGAAAATATGGTAATGTTTTTTACAGGATGCAAAAGCACAGTTCTGTGTTTTTCATACTATAAATACTATACATTCAATGATAAGCTCTTATACATTTCTTTTGTAAAAGTAATTCTTCTGTTATTGAACATATAAAAATCTGGTTTAAAATAATCAGTATTTTAAAGGCTTTAGGTCCTTCTTGGGCATCAATACCAGAATTTTCTGCTCTTTCACACACATTTCTTCTACTTAGAGAAGAAATAAGTAGTAAAATAAAATGACCAGTACTGTCGGGGGGGGTGGTGGTGTGTGTGTGTGAGGTGCCTAGAAATGGTGATACAATTGCCTGGAATCTTTTACAGGTTAAAGTTGTCAGATGGACTCAGGTCTATAAGAAGTTATGCATATTTAAAAAACAAATTATATATTTAAAACACAAAGATTGAATCTTAATAAACCCACCAACTCCTTTTCAAAGTGTTAACCTTTGATTTATGAAATTCAAATTGTTTAGGCTTTAATTTTCTAAGTCAGTAGTGTACCATCATAGGAAGGAAATTGAGTTATTCATTCTCTGGTGGTGCATTTTTTAAGATTTGAAGATAGTAATGGGGAAAAATGGTTATTTCCCTAGAAGAAATACTTACCATGCCTCTTTCCTTCTGAATATATAATGAACAGGGAAAAAAAGGTTAACGCTTTGGAAAAGTACACTCTTTAAGAAGGATTTAAAGAAATTTTTTTATTAGAAGAGTATCACAAACCCCCATTAGCATCATGCAGCGTCAGTGGTTATCAACATACTGCTAGTATGCTCCGTCTATAACCTCCACCCTTCTGCATCCTCCCTGTTTCAAAGAACTTTAAATGTTAGATATTATGTAATTTCACTTAAGATTTTAATATGGAAAAGAAATTAAGATGCAGACTTCCAACTTCATTTCTAAAATAGGAAGACCCAATTGAAATTTTCAGCACTCTAAAATCATTTAAGATTTGGATACTCATTTTACCAGTCCAGATCAATTTGTTACCTTTGACATGTTTTGTCTCTTTCATATTTTAGCTTAAACAAATGTTTTTTACATATTGTATAAATGAAGTTTGTAACTTTAAATTAATATGCTTTGTTTTTTTTCTTATAGTACAAAACCCCACAGCTTATTCCACTTGAAAACCTGCTTGCATTTAAACAAAGCCAACAGAAACTAACACATTTATTTGAGCAAGGTGATTCAGAGCACCATCAGCTTCTAAAGGTCAAAATAGAACCATCTAAAGTGAGACAAGGAAAGGACAGTAAAAAAAGGCAAGTTTTAAGTGAAATTTTATTTGAGAATATCATATACCTCCAAGTTTATCAGTTATAAAGATGGAAGTTCTCTGGTTCAACCTCCTATCCTATACACAGTTGCATATTCAGTCGCCTTGTGTCATGCATTTGAACACATCTTGTGATAAGGAAAATTCCTATATTTGAGAGACAAATACTATATTTTTCAATTTTATTAAATTCTTGGGAGCATTTAAGAGCTTACTTCTTAGCAAGTCATCAAATTGGCTAAAGTAAACTCATAAAAAAAATTGAAAGAAATTCTCTCCTGTCATTCATAGGCTAGAGGATTCTTTCACATTTTTCTGTAGTAGGGTAAGCAGTCATCTTTTGCAACACAAATATTTGGTATCTCGTGCAATACAACAATATTTCTTGTTACTCATCTTACCACATACTCTAGACTCTTACACAGAAAGGCTGTGACTTCTGATAAAGAGTATTTAAAGTGTTTTACTCATAATGGATGTTCAATACATGTATTGACTAGTAAATTAATACTGACTCTAAAAAATCCTCTAAAAATTTTACATTTATCAGGCCCTACATTCTACTACCAGTACTTTCTTCCTAGAAATGTTTCCTTCCTTTCACTTTTAACAAATATTCCCTCTTAAAAGTAAGTCTTCGCTTTAACTTTTGGTGCTCTCTTTTCTCCTTGCTGGGATTTTGCCGAGGTGACTAAGTGTGCTTAACTTCTTTAAATAAGTGAATGGCAGTATTCGGTAGGTGGGGCCAGCTTAGAATCTGCAGAAAAAAGTTTGAAAATTACCTAAAAGGTATAACTCTGACCTGAGATTCTAGTGATTTACACAGAAAAGTCAGTTCAGTAATAGAGGAACTAGAAATAATTTTCATGCGTCCCTGACTTTCGGTTATATTTGCTTGTATTCTAGCAGAATATCTTGCTAATTTAATTAAATGCCATTGAAAATAATTTGACAATTTTCATAACTATCTCCCTATATAGCATGATACAAATAAAAGACTGATGTTACTAAAATAGTAAAAATATATTTTACACTGTTGTTTTTAACAGGCAAAGACGACGAGCTGAGAAAGAGCTACAAGAGGAAAGATCAGAGAAACTAAAGCGAAAACCAAGTGTGACTTTCCAGCCAGAGGATTCCATCATTAATGATGATGATTCAGAGATACTTGTGAAACCCAAGGTATATAGAAACTACTATACATTCTTCCCTGGTGTACATGTACACAGAGTTTAGAATGTCTTTGTGATTTATGTAGTCTTCTGATTGCGGAAAGCTTCTGACTGTTACCAGGAGAATTTTTACATCATTAAGTACATAAATCCCTGCTGTGTTCCTCTGTGGAACAGTAGACATACAGTCGTGAATTTGGAAAGCAACTTGATGATAAATCAAAAACCATGGAGCATCTGCCTACGTGACTTTTATATTTGAAATTACTCTGCTTTTCTTCTGCGACATTTTAATGCACATTATATGTTATCTGGGTTTCTCCTATTACAGTTTCACCTATCTTTTTTATGCACCTCTGAGATTTCTAACATACAGGTTTATCATATAGCCTATATTTTATTTTATTTTTTCAATTAAATATTTTTTAATTTAATTTTTTTTTTAAAATTATGGTGACATTAGTTAATGAAATCCAGTAAGTTTCAGGTGTACAATTTAGCAGTAAGGCATATATATACATTGCATTGAGTGTTCACCACCCGTAATTAGATTTCTTTCTGTCACCACATATTTGACCCTTTTTACCCTATCTGCCTCCTACCTCCCCCACTACTCTCTGGTAACTACAAGTCTATTGTCCATGTCCATGAGTCTCTGTCTTGTTCATTTGTTGCTTTTAGGCTTATATCTCACATATAAGTGATATCATGTGGTTTTCAATGTTTTCTGTCTGGCTTATTTCGCTTAGCATGATTATCTTGAGGTTTATCCATGTTGTTGCAAAAAGCAGTATTTCATCTCTTCTTATGGCTGAGTAATATTCCATTGTGTATATATATACCAAAGCTTCTTTAGCCAGTCATCTTGCAAAGGACACTCGGTTGCTTCCATGTCCTGGCCACTGTGAATAATGTATAGCTTATATTTTTAATCAGATCTTTTTAAATATTCCTTGTAAATTTGGTAACACTATTTACCAGTTTTTGCAACAGCAGATTAAACAAGCAGAAACAGTTTTGTTTACATGGATTTGTAAAAGGCACACTTTTTCATTAAATCCTCAAAAGCATGTCTGGAGGCATCTAGTAAAAATGTTGAGTCTGAATAACTGATAGGATGGGAATACTATTCTATGTTAAAGCTACTCTGCAAGAGAGATTTGCACATCATAATTTAGTAATTGCATTAAGTTGGTAATGCTCTTTTTTATTGTTCATTGACTTGTGAATTTTTGAATTTCCTTGTAAAGCTACTTTGATATAATAAATAAATATTTCTAGAATTATAGGATTTGAACCTATACCTATGAAGTAACAATTCTCATAGCTATTATATATTCTTTTCAAATTAATAAATGTCTTGAGTTAATCAGTAATTTATCATTCGGGGATTCATTTAGGAACAACATGAACATCATGGTTCCCAGCCTTTGGATGATTTTGAAATTCCTTTTGGTATGTATATGCATGATTAATGTAATGTCTAAGTTCAGAGTTAAAGTCTTCTAGATATCTAGAAATATATATATAAAAATGAGACTAATTCTCATGTTATCTTTGACAAGATAGGGTGTGTGTGTATGTGTTTTGATGTGTTATCCAGTAGAGCACTCCTTGACAAACTATGGCCCATGGGTCAAATCCAGACCGTGCTTGTTTTTTTAAATCAAGTTTTATTGAAACAACCAGGCCCATTTATTTAGGCATTGTCTATGACAGTTTTCACACTACAGCAGCATTCGGTTATTGCAAAAAGGGACCACATGGTTCACAAAACCTAAAATGTTTACTATCTGGCCCTTTACAGAAAAAGATTGCTGACCCCTATAGTGGAGCAATGCAGTTACTTAGAACCTCAAATAAGATACTGATATATAAGGCCTAAAAAAGAAACAGTGGAAGAATATGCCTATGAGGGTCAAATTCATCATAGAAAATACATGCACATTTAAATAAAGGAATTAGTTCAGAAAAGAGAACTTGCTTATTGATAGTAAATTTTCTTTCTTGAATTGGTCAATTTATTTCCTACCACCGAATGTATGTATTCACCAAGGCTTTCTCCTCAGTAATTTTTATAGACATATACACACTCTTGTGCATGTAAGGCTGTTCACTTTCATACCTTCAGCTCTTAAATTATTTTGATGATACTCAAATATCCATTGTTTTCTACACCTTAAATTGAGCATGTCCAAATGTCACCTTAAACTGAGCATGTCCAAATTTTGAGTTGGAATCTTCCTGCGCGATATCATTATCTTGACTTGTAAAGATTTTACCTTGAAAGTCACCCTTGATTCTTCTCTCACCTGTTACCCCATTCCTTCACATAGTCCTTGACCTGGTCCTCTCTCTTTTTCTTGATACCACTGTGCTGCCTCAGGCTTCTGCACGACTAAACCAAGATGCCACTGCCATGTATCAGGCCTCTGGCCTGCTTAGCTCCCATCTCTCAGCTTCCTAATCCATTTGGTGGTATTCTTTCCCACTCACTTGCCTTAAAACTACTTTCCTTTTCATTCTTAATAACTTTTGCTTCGTAAAGGTAATCCATGTTCACCGGAACAAATTTAGAAAATATAAATAGAGAATAAGAAGAATATTAGTCTCCCATAATTCTTCTGTCTAGAGATAACCAATGTTACTATTCTTTTAGGGTTTATTTTCTGAATATACATATATCACGCTAACCCATTATGCTACTGGATCTCATATATATAAAGAATACTTCCTCTTCTTGTTTATAAGTTACTCATTTTAACATACTAGTATTAAGGTACATATCCACCAATATCACTAGATATTTTTCTTCAATGTCATTTTTAATGACTGTATAGTACTCCAATAAGTATATATTGTGTCATTCCAAACAACAATTCTCCAATTTTCTGACACCAACTGGGTGTCTTCTAAATTCAGTTCTAACACTAACAACCTATAGTTAACACAGACCCCATAGGCTAAAGGCTTAGTTCTGAAAGACTCCCCACTTCAGATGCCATCTGTAAATGGGGTCCCCAGACACCTGCATTTCTACCTGGTCAGCTATAAATTTAGGTTCCCATGACTACCCCTTCTAGGTTTGCTAATTTGCTGGAACAACTCCAGAATTCAAGAAAGTGTTTTGTTTATGATTATAGTTTTATTCTAAAGGATATGACTCAGGAACAGCCAAATGGAAGTGATACATAGGGCGAGGTGTCGTGGTGGTTAGGGACAGAGAGCTCCCGTACCTTCTCGGGATGTGTCACCCTCCTAGCACATCCACTTGCTCATCAACTCAGAAGCCCCCTTAGCCTGCTTGTTTGAAGATTTTTACTGAAGTTTCATGATTTAGGCACGATTGATTACATCATTGACTATTGGTGATTGAACTCCATCTCCAGTAGCTCTTTCCTCCCCAGAGGTGGGGGTAGGGTGGGGCTGATAATTCTAACCCTCTTAGCATGTGATTGGTTCCTTTTGTGACCAGCACCCATCCTGAAGCTGTCTAGGGGCCCATCAGGGAGTCACGTCATTAGCATAAACTCTGAAATGATAGAATGGGGCTCCATGAATAATGAAAGACACTCATATCATTAAGGAAATTAGGAACTCCGTGCCTGGAACCAATGACAAAGACCAAAAATATTTTTTATTAGACTCCAGTGTGCCATAATTGATACACTTATTCTACTTAGTCTCCTGAGTGATTGCCCTGGAAAACCCACATTTAAACACCAACTTCTATAATAGACTTTGGATTTTGATTACTTCCTGC